TAGCCAGGATGGTCTCGATCTGCTGACCTCGTGATCCGCCCGTCTCAGCCTCCCAAAGTGCTGGGATTACAGGCTTGAGCCACCGCGCCCGGCCTAATACTACTGTTTGTGGAAAAGACTGGGCACTGCATTCCAACCTGGGCAATAGAGTGAGATCCTGCCCCCCTCCCCCCACCAAAAAAAGGAAAGAAAAGAAAGGCGTCTTTGCAGATGTGCCCTTGAGATGGGGCAATTATCCTGGATTACCCAGGGAGGCCCTCAGTGCCATCTCAAGGGCCGTAAAAAATTGAGGCAGAGGAAGCCTTGAGACAGAAAAGAAGGCAGTGTGACATGGAGGGAGGAACTGGAGCAATGCAGCCACAAGCCAAGGATTACAGGCTGCTATCAGAAGCCAGAAGAGGCCAGGCCCGGTGGCTCATGCCTGTAATCCCAGTGCTTTGGGAGGTTGGAGTGAGAGGATTGCTTGAGGCCAGGAGTTCAAGGCCAGCCTGGGCAAGACAGCAAGACCCATCTCTAAAAAGAAAACATTAGCCAGGCATAGTGATGCATGCCTGTAGTCCCAGCTACTTAGGAGGCTGAGGCAGGAGGATTCAAGGCTTCCGCGAGCTGATTGTGCCATAGTACTCTGGCCTGGACATCAGAGCAAGCCTCTGTCTCAATAACAACCACAACAATAACAAAAGAGAAGACAAAGAAGCGAGAAGAGGCAAGGAGGGATTCTCCCCTTGAGCCCTCAGAGGGAGCACAGCCCGGCCGATACCTTGACCTTAGTAAACTGATTTTGGACTCTGGCTTCAAGCTACAAGTTTGTGATAATTTGTGGCAGCCGTAGGAACTAACATAAGACCAGAAACAAAGATTAGTTACAAAACAGGACAAGAAAACTACAAAACCTTCATTTCACTAGCCTCAGGCCGGGTCTGTGTGGACCTCAGGTGTTTATTTTACGCTTTGGCTCACACCCTAGTGTCATGTCCTGTTTCGTGGCTCATATTGGGCCAGCTTCAGTTACTGGCAACTTTTGCATTGGCTTCCACGTCCTTCTCTGCAATATTTTTTTTTTTTTTTTTTTTTGAGATGGAGTTTTGCTCTTATTGCCCAGGCTAGAGTGCAGTGGTGCTATCTCAGCTCACCACAACCTCTGTCTCCCGGGTTCAAACGATTCTCCTGCCTCAGCCTCCTGAGTATCTGGGACTACAGATGCCCACCACCACACCTGGCTAATTTTTGTATTTTGTAGTAGAGACGTGGTTTCTCCATATTGAGCAGGCTGGTCTCGAACTCCTGACCTGAGGTGATCCGCCCGCCTTGGTCTCCCAAAGTGCTGGGATTACAGGCATGAGCCACTGCACTCGGCCGTGGGAGCAATTTTCTTTAACGCAGGATACATTAATACAGTGTATGAGATACAAGGTTAGTGGAGCTTTGCAAACAGAAGGGGAGGGACTACGAAGTCCGCACACACACACTTGGAGTTGGTGACCGAAGCAGAACAGCGGAGGGAAAGAGCTGACCTGGCACCCAAGGCATAGAGCACCTGGAAGCTGGGCTGAAAAGAGGAGCAAAAGGTACAGAGAACGACTGGGGAGTGGGGGCCAGTCAAGGTTTGGGGTAGCAGAGGTCAAGAACCAAGGGAGGTATTTGAGCAAGACTTCAGAGACGGAAGTGAGTGGGCTGAGTGGCTCCGGGAGAAGGGCAGTCTGGGCAGGGGTGACCTGGGCAAAGGCCTGAGACATGTAAGGTGCTGGCAGCAGGGTGGAGGGAGAGGTGTGGATGGTGGGTCAGAGGAAAGCCTAAAAGAGAAGACCTTGCTGGCCACCATCAAGACTTAGGCCTTTACTCAGTGCGATGGGACCCACTGTGGGGTGTCGAGCAGCGGGGCCTGATCTGACCCATCTTGTGAATCCATCCCCTGGGCTTCTGGATGGAGAACGGGCTGAGCGTGGGAGGCAAGGGACTCGACGCATCCAGGGCTGAACTGCAAGGCATTGGGGGCTGACCACTACTGGACCCACAGCCACCCCCAGAGGCTGCCCCACCGTGTAAGGAAGGAAAGGGCATCCCTGAGGCTGTGGAGAGCAACCTGCATTGCCCGGCTCGGAATCTTCCTGGGGATGCAGGGGGGATGCAGAGCCACTGTGCTCGGCCGAATGGTGTTTTCTGTTTTTTGTTTGTTTGTTTGTTTGTTTGTGTTTGTTTTTGTTTTTGAGACGGAGTCTCGCTCTGTCGCCCAGGCTGGAGTGCAGTGGCGTGACCTCAGCTCACTGCAAGCTCTACCTCCCGGGTTCACGCCATTCTCCTGCCTCAGCCTCCCGAGTAGCTGGGACTACAGGCGCTCGCCACCGCGCCCGGCTAGTTTTTTGTATTTTTAGCAGAGACGGGGTTTCATCGTGTTAGTCAGGATGGTCTTGATCTCCTGACTTCATGATCTTCCTGCCTCGGTCTCCCAAAGTGCTGGGATTACAGGCGTGAGCCGCTGCGCCCAGCCCAAGTGGTGTTTTTTAATAAAAAATTTTCTGAGCTGGGCCTGGTGGCTCATGCCTGTAATCCCAGCACTTTGGGAGGCCAAGGTGAGTGGATCACTTGAGGTCAGGAGTTTGAGACCAGCCTGGCCAACATGGCAAAACCCCGTCTCTACTAAGAATACAAAAATTATAGCTGGGCATGGTGGTGGTCACCTGTAATCCCAGCTACTTGGGAGGCTGAGATAGGAGAATCACTTGAACCTGGGAGGTGGAGGTTGTAGTGAGCCGAGATCGCACCACTGCACTCCAGCTTGGGAGACAGAGCAAGACTCCATCTCAAAAAAAAAAAAAAAATTCTGACCAACTGAGAAGCAGAAATCACAGCATACTGCGCCCCGTAGACCCATCACCCAGATTAAACAACTATCAAAATGTTGACAAATTTGCAACCAGTATTATTACTATTTTTATTATTATTTTGCTGAACTAGGTACATTACAGCGAGTAGGCTATTTTCCTTCAAATTCTTCTAGACTTGTCTGTAAAAGACAACAGTGTCCTACATAGACGCAAGGCAGGGCAGAGTTTTATGCAGCGCCTCCTGTCCTCCTCACCCTCCACTCTCCGTGGGCAGGCCCTGGGTCAGGGCTGGGGGTGCTTCGTTGGTCTCCGGAACAGCCAGGCCTCTGGGGCAGGGCCTGCAGCCCGGAGTCAGGGACTGGAGAACTAGGGGACCCGGAGAGGCGCCTGGGGATCCTGACACTGACTGGGGCGGCCACTTGGGACGACCCTGAAGGCCACCTCCCAGGGCGGTGTCCGCTGGAGCCTGGGGCGCGCGCTGTGTGGTGTCCGTGTCCCGCCCTCCCGGCGCCCCCAGTCTGGGGGTCTGGGTCCGTGCAGAGGTAGAAAAGTCCCAGAGCTGGGACTGGGGCCCGCCCTGAGGAACCTCCCTGACGTGGAGCCGAGGCTCAGTCCCTCCTCGGCCAACGCCTGCCCAGACAGGCAACAGAGGGTGACCCGGCCCCTTTCCCAGGGCGCCCATGTACCCGGCCGCCCCCGCCACCCCTCCCTCCCTCCAAGAAACGCACAGCGCCACAGGCACTCAGGGCGTTTATTGCGCTTGGGGCCAGGGTGTGGAGAGAGGGGCTCTTTGGGGAGGGCTGGGCGCACGGAGCAGCTGACCCCTGCAGGCACTCAGGGGCTGGACCCGCGGTTCCTCAGGCTGCTGCAGCTTGGATCCGCCCGGATGCCCCATCACCCCCGCTCTAGCCCCCAGCTGTCCCGAAGGTAGAGGGCCCCACGGTGCAGCCCACGGCCCTAGGAGGGCCCATGGTCCGCGGCTCCACGTGGCCGTGGTCTACCCACCCAGGAGAGCGGGCCCGCACACTGGTCTGCAGAGAGAGTAGGCCCGAGGCGCCCCTCTGGTGCCCCCTTCCTTGGGACCGAGGCCCCCGACCTGCCCCAACGCGATCTCCTCCTGGGAACACTGCCCTGGGCAACGTCTCAGCTTCCTCCGAGCCGGACAGGCTGGGTCTGCCCCCGGCACTTCTGTCCCGAATCTGAGATCAGTGGAGTGACTAGGGCCTGGCTCTCCCAGAAGGGGTGTGACCTGGGGCCTGGCCCTCCCAGCAGGCCTGCGGGCACCGCTCACCCAACTGGGCAGCAGGACGTCCTGGCTGGGGCTCAAGCCCACTTGGGGCGCCAGTAGCTGCATCTTCTGGGCGCCTTCGGGAAACAGCTCCGGGGCTCGAGCTGAAGGTGGGGAGGGTGGGTGAGCTAAAGGGAAGGGGTTGGAGGGGCGAAGAGAGGGTGAGAGGGGCAGGGAGGGGTGAAAGGGGTGCGGAGGGGCCGGGACCGCGGCCACAGACACCAGGAGCCAGCGGTTCTGCCTTCCCAGTGCAGAAGGCACTGGTGCAGGCACAGGGGGACATTCCAGACCTGAAGCTGGGGGGTGTCTGGGCCTCCGCCCCGCAGCCCGCCCACTGTAGAGCTGCAGTCACTGGTTCTGCAGGCCCCCTTTCTGCGTCTCCAAGTACAGCAAGGCAAAGTGCTGGTAGTCGGAGAAGGCCACTCGGATGTCAGTCAGGGCCACGGCTGGAGAAGCGAGAGCCGGTGACCCCAGGCCCAGGGCACGTCCCCCCAGCGTGGCACCCTTCATGCCCTGGCCCCAGGTGCCAACCCAGCAGCCCGCACAGCCCCCAGGACCCCCACCCCACAGCCCTGCCTGCCACCCCACCTTACCTAGGTTGCTGAACTGCCCCCTACAGCACCCTTGGTGAAAGTCATGTCCATTTTCTGGCACCTGCCATCGGACCTGGGGAGGAGGAGCCCAAGTCCCCTGAGTGGCCACCCCTGCCCAGCGCCCAGGCCCGGAGCCTACCTTGCTGTCTCTGAGTCCAGGGTCCCTTGTTCACCCTCACAATCCTTAGAGAACGTGGGAATTTAGGATGACTTTAGAGGTGGGGACACTCTTGCTGGGGGTGGGGGATTAAGTACCTGCTCATGGGCACACAGTCTGGAATGCAGGGTCTCCAGGTCCCCCTTCCAGACACACACACACAGAAGATGCACACATACACACATGCACACACACAGAGATACACAGACACACACACAGAAGACGCACACACACACACATGCACACACACAGAGATACACAGACACACACACACAGAAGATGCACACATACACACATGCACACACACAGACAGACACAGACACACACACACAGAAGATGCACACACACACAGAGACACACACACAGAGATACACAGACACACACACACAGAAGATGCACACATACACACATGCACACACACAGAGATACACAGACACACACACACAGAAGACGCACACATACACACATGCACACACACAGACAGACACAGACACAGATACACTGACAGACACACACATATATACACACACACACTCACATAAAAGACACACGCAGAGATAGACACACTCAGAAACAGATACGCAGACACACAGACGCATACAGCGATACACACACAGAGACACACACACAGAGGTACACAGCTACACAGAAGACACACCACAGACACACACACACATGCAGAAATAGACACACACAGAGACACAGCCACATACAGTAATACACACACACACAGACATGCAGACACTTTTCTCAACACTGGGCCTCAGGCGGTGCTTCCTCCAGGGCCTGGGTCCCTCTGGACACCGTGTGGCTGCCATGTGGAGCTCTGCAGCACGGAGCCCTTGAGGACCCATGGTCTGACCTCGATGTGCTGGGGACACCGTGATCCCTCTGGACCTTCATCTGGCCTCATCTGAGGCTGAGTCTGATGGGCTTGTGGGGTCACTTACATGGGATATCCAAACTTGAGGGCCAGGTCACTGTTCTCCAAGGGGGTCACTAAGACCACAGGCATCTTCATGGTGTCCTTGGAGTCCAGGAAGTCCTGGTCATCTGACACCACCCCGACCATGTACCAGGTGCCCTGGAACTTCAGGGCAAGTGCAGGGAAGGCTGGGAGGCCGCCCCTGTGCCCTGGGCCTGAGCCCACCACGTTCTGTCCTGACACAGCTGCTTCCTGGCCAGGACAGGGGCTGCTGTACACACCTCCACCCTGATGCAGAACTGAGGAAGGGGGGCCTCAGCAGATGAGCAACTGGCCTCCACCAGCCCAGCACCAGCCTGTCTGCAGCTGGCACCCAGGGGGTACGGCTGGATGGGTGGGGCTGTGGCAAGGTCACAGGTCTATGTGGGGTGGGTGGGGGACAGTGAGGGGCAGGCAGCTGTAACTTGTCCCAATTTTGGGCCCTGGGGAGTGATGGGGGATGCAACCGAAAAGCTAGGATGGAGGCCTGCAGTCTTCCCCAGCCAACGCCTACGCCAGTCAGATGGAACAGGTGTGGTGGGTGGTTTCCCATGCCCCCAGCCCTGCTGAGCCTGGATCAAAGAGAGTGTGGACAGGGACCTGGGGTGCAGTGCCAAAGCTGGGAGGACTCATTGGAGAGGAGGAGGAAACAGGGCTGGGCGCACCTGGCTAGCATCAAAGTTGGCCTGGATGGGGACCTGGGCCTGGCCTGGGGACACCCAGAGCAGGGCAAGGAGGGAATTGATCAGCAGAGCCCAAAGCATCGTGCAGCAAGGTGGCATGGCGTCTCCTTGGGACACAAGAGCAGGACAGAGCTGAGGTGGCTCCTCTGTAGGCTTTATGCCCCCAAGGTGCCCGGGGGCGGCTGGCCTGGGACTGCACCCACTGTGACAGGCTTCTGATCGAGTTGCACGCTGCAGCGCTCTGGCCTGGCTCCCTCCACCCAACCCCAGCCATGCCTTGCCTTTCCTCCGGGGTGGGGCCGGATGCCTGGCAGCTGAGGGTAGTTCTGATGGGCCTCTGGGCTAGGGGGCCTGCAGCTCACCCCATCCTGCCTCTCTGGCCTTCTGCAGCCCCTCTGGGATGTTGGATCCCCACTACCTTGAGCTCAGGCACAGCCCTAAGCTCCCTTCTCCAGGAAGGCCACCCAGAAGCTCACCCTCACCTCTGACCCTCAGAAAGGTTGATGCCTCTGCAGGGCCTGCTCAGGGGGGCCTGGTGGGCAGGTCACAGTGAGTCTTGCACATTGTGTACCTGAGAAAGGCTGCCTGGGTGGGAATCTGGGAGGGAGCAGGGGTGGGCAGGGCACTGGTAGGGCATGGTGTGCCCGTGGTGCCAGGGCTCTGGCGAGTGGACTAGGCTGTGATCTGGTGGCCCAGGTCAAAGGGCAGGGGGTGCCCAGGGAACCAGAAGGGATGTGGGGTGTCCTGTCCCCAGCCCACTCTGTCAGTCTGTCCTGATGGAGGGTGGAGACACTCTGGCATGTTTCCAACAAATGTTCCTTTTTTGTCCCCTGAAACCCTTATCTCTGCCCAATCTCAGTGTGTTAATCCCACACCTCAAGACACCCAACAGGTCCAAAGCTCCTCTGGGGCCTTAAGCCTCAGGCCTTTCCTGCTGAGGGGGTGACAGGGTGGGGTTGGGGGTGCAGGGTACCTGCCTAAGGGATTTAGATGAGTCACTGACCCCCCCCAGCTCAGCACCGGCCTGGTGGCAGTGGCAGCTGAGGGGGTATGGCTGGACGTGTGGGACTGTGGGGCAGGGTCACACGACTCGGCTGGGTGGGAGATAGTGAGGGACACCCCCTCCTAGCTGTTCTGACTCAAGACGCCACTGGGAGCAAACACTAGAGGGTCTGTTCCTCTGTTGACCTCAGGCTGAGGTTTTATAGAGCAGGAGGTCCAGGTGGCCAGGGTCAGGCCCGGGACTGGTGACGACGGCGCAGACAGCCAGGAGCCAACCTACAGACTTGCTTCCGGAGTTTATTCCGCAGAGCCAGGAGGAAGCCCGAGGGGGCAGGGGTGCTTTGGCGGGGAGCCGGGGCAGGGGCTCAGGGAAGGAACAGAGCGGAGACATCCAGATCGCAGGGGTCACCTGGCTGGCTGCGGTCCCAGCTTCAGCTCTGGGGAGTCCTGGGGGGTGCAACCGAAAGCCGAGGATGGAGGACTGCAGTCTTCCCCAGCCCACCCCCACTCCAGTCAGATGGAGCAGGTGCAGGAAAAGGGGACTTTTCTCTGTCCCCAGCCCCGCTGAGCCTCGCTGAGAGAGCAAGATCCACCGCTGGGGCTCGGATCCCGGCTGCCCCAGGGTCTACAGACTCCACCCCTCCTAGCCCCAGGATCCACGGACTCCACCCTTCCCAGCCCCAGGATCCACGGACTCCAGCTCCAGCCTAGGCCTCCCTCCTAGGGGTGGTGGGTGAATCCGCCCCGAGCCTGCTCCCCTGAGCTCTCCCACGGCATCCATGCAGCGTCCTCGGACTTCCCCTTCCATCCCCTGTTCCCTCCCATCCCATCTCCCCTACCCTGGTTTACCCCTATCCCAGGTGCCAGATGCCCTCGCTGCCAGATGGCCCCTGTGGTATAGCCCCTTGGCCTTTTCTGCCTGGGGCCTCACACCTGCACCCCCCAATCATGAGCCTTCAGGGGTCAGCCCTATTCCAGCCGCTGGGACAGGTTTTCCTTCTGAGCCTTACACCTGTGCACTCGTCAATGTGGGCAGCCCCTGTGTCTCCTGCCCAGCCCTGGACGACGGCAGCCATCAGGAAGGATGGGTCTGCAGCACCAGGCTGTCCTGGGGCCCTGACCCATCGCAGAGTGGGTTGGGTGGATGTGTGTTGAATAAATGAATGAATGAATGAATGAATGAATGAACGGAGTGGCTCACCTATTGTTCCGTCATGCACTTATCTGCCAAGAAAAAAGCCGGGGCTGTCGTCAGAATCCCAGACTTAGGCCAATTTTCCCACTGGGCTTCCTGTCCCTCTCCTAATACAGAGCTCATCTTGACTGAGCCCCTAAACTGCACAGACCCCCCCATCGCCTCCCACCTCTCCCCTGGCCCCTCAAAACAAAGAAAGGGTCTTTCTTCACCTCTGCCGAGAGCAGGCTGTCCGCCCCAGAAGGCTGTGCCTGAGCGCAGTATGGTTGGTCCTCCTGTATCCCCCATAGGCACCCTCTACCCTATGCTCCCCACCAGGCTGGAGCCCCACATCCTGGGAGCTGCTGGGGCCTGGCACAGAGTGGGCGCCTGGTCTCCATGTCCCCCATGGAGGGGGCTCACATCCTGGGAGCTGCTGGGGCCTGGCACAGAGTGGGCGCCTGGTCTCCATGTCCCCCATGGAGGGGGCTCCTCATGAAGGGGCTGCAGGAGGGAGGTTCTGACTCAAACACTCACCCCCTCTGTCCCTGGCCCAGGCCTCGAGCAGGGCGGGGCCACCTCCTCCCCTCTGCCTCTCCCTGTCAGGAGACTGCCTGCCTGCCTCTAATCTGACCCTAATCCTCTACCCATCAGATTAGGACCCCTTACCGGTTTGGGGCAGGAAGACAATGGTATCCTCTGTGAAGCCCTGGGCCTTGCAGAAGGCGGTAAATTTCTCCTTTAATTCAGCCCTGGGGGTCTGGGTTCGGCCTGGGACAGGGTGGAGACGGAGCTGGCCTCAGCGGGGGGATGGTGTGTGCCCTGCCCTGGGTCTTGGGGAGCCCCCTCTGGTCATGCCTGTGTGCAGGCAGCGGCGGGCACGTACTGTAGAGGGTGGCCATGCGGAAGTCCTCGCCGGGGCCCTTGCTGCCCTGGCTGTACAGCAGGGCGTAGTGGTCGTAGTCGGTCTCCACCACTGACACAGAGTAGGTGCTGCCCCAGTCTGGGAACCCAAGAAACGACCCTGTTGGGGACTCAGCCCCACAAGCCTCACCTCTGCTTCAGGGAAGGGGTGCACTTGTGGGCTGTGGGGACACTCAGGCCCTCAGCTGGCCTGGGATGCTCCCCCACCCGGCTGCTTTCCAGTCAGTGCCCTGCTCCCACCCGCACAGCCTGTGAACTCTGTCCCTAAACCAGAATCTGGGGCAGCCAGGCTCAGAAAACCAGGATGCCTGGTGCAGCCGCAGAACCCGCTGCCAGAACTGGAAGTGAAGAGCTTTCCCTGTGGGAGCCATTCCCCAGGTGGGAGTGAGGAAGCCCCTGGGTCCTGGGGAGGAGAACTGGGAGGAGGCATGTGGACGGGTCTTGGGGGGCTGCTTATGTGGGGAAAGCTCCAGAGGGCAGGAGAGGGGCCTGGCAAGACACTGGTGGGCTCCAGAGAGGATCCAAAGCCCTGGAGGAACGGTCTCTCTGTTCCCAACACTTGTGTATGGGCAGTCATGCCCATGCCTGGCCTTGGCCTCTGACGCTGGTGGGGCAGCCATCGCCCCCCACCCCATGGATCTGCGCGGCAGGGGGCTGGCCCAGAGTCGCCCGCATGTGTCGCCCCCAGGCTGGGCTCAGGAGCTGGTGGAGGCCCCACTCACGGGGACTCCGGTAGCTGTAGGAGCCGAGGGACCCCGCGGGCTGCAGCAGCATGGTTCGGGTCTCACACTGGTTTTTCCTGTAGGTGGGTGACCTCGGGGTCAGGGGTTAGGCCCGAGGGTGCTCCTGGACCTCTCCGTCCCAGCAGCCCACCTGCCCGCTGTCCCACCTGAGGAAGGTGGAGGTCAGGTTGAAGCCACCATCCGCGGCAGGGGCCACCACCGACTTGCACATGGACAGCGCCGCCTTCTTCTCCTGGAGCCAGCTCGAGTTGGAGGCGAGGCC